AGGAAGGAAGGAAGGAAGGAAGGAAGGAAGGAAGGAAGGAAGGAAGGAAGGAAGGAGAAACGAGAGAGGGAGGAAAAAGGGAGTTATTTTCTTCTCTGTTCTCTTGCTGGATGGTTGAGGACTGTTTTATACTTTCCTTGAGGAATTCAGCAAATGGAATCAAATCCAGATTTGATTGGGAAATTGTCAGTCCTGGTCAAACTGGCAGAAAAAAGGAAAGGCTTTTTCCTTCTCTTTTCTGGGCTCATAGGAGGAAGAAAGCGAATGAGGGGTTTTTTTGCATAATGACTGGTTTTAGACTGGAGATGGTCACTGATGCGCCTCGCAAAAGGCCTTCCTGAACTGACCCTGGGTTAGCAAGAGCAGCCAGACATAGATCTGAATACGGGAATGAGAGATTATTCCACGTAGGTTCAACTCAGCATGGCTCTTACTTAGACACAAATTATTTCCTCTGTTCTTAGGGGAAATAATTTGTGTCTAAGTAAGAGCCATGCTGAGTTGAACCCACGTGGATCATTTGCAAGGATTAATCCTGTGATGGGAAACATTTAAAAAAAAGGTCGTTGGGAAAAATGCTTGCAGAAGTTGATATATTCTGTCTCGGGAATATGTTGACTGAGTTTTAATCCTGGTTTTGACAAACTGGAATGGAACTCTTTTCAACTGCAGGCTATCTGAACCAACACGTTTAAAAGTTTCCTGACCATTCCCTTTGTGGTTGAGACGTGGCCAACCCGTGGTAACATCCTGCCACCCCGGAGCTCTCCAGCTCCTGGCACAGTCACTCACATGTCCAAATAATCCCACCGTGGGATAAATTGCAACAGAGAAAGTCCAGCTGTAGCCAAGAACTTTATTCCACCCCAAAGGATCCAAAGGATCGACTCTAATGCCACCCCAATTCCTAATTCTTCTTTATATCTTACTAAGAAGGAAGATTTTTAAGACAGAGAGGGAGTGAGCCCAGACATCAGCTTGAGAAGGGTGGAAGGATAAGAAAAGACTGCATTTATAAGGAAATTCTGGCATGAAACTGAAATTATCCAAGCCATGACAAGTGAAGTAAAGCGTCTTTTTAAAAGGTCATATTAGAGAAGATGCAAGGATATATCTTCAAGTTCAGAGAAGGTCCTGTTTGTGGCTTCAGGCATAAACAAAGCCTGCTGACCAAGAAGGCTACTTATAAACTGTCAGCAATATTTGCCAAATAGTCTGAATGCAAATATCCTTAATCTGCTATTGTCTTGCTAAGGTGCAACACTGGGGGGAGGCTGAGCGGTTTGGCCAAATTTAGCTTGGAAACGTGGTCACTCGTGGAATTGCTTTGTAGCAGGCAGCAGCTCTGATCTGACCTTGAATGACCTCAGAAAGCTAAGCAGGGTCAGTCCTGGTTAGACTTTGGAGGGGGACCTGCAGGAGGCCAACGGCATGCGTCGTTTTGGCTGGGTCTGCAAGAAACGGAGCGACTTGTCTGTCAACTAAATGGCAGGGGATCAGGAGAGGTCATGCCTGGCCCCCTTTCTCCCCTCCCTTCCAGGTGCTGTTCCACGACCCCACTTTTACCATGGGGCAGGTACTCCGGCGAGTGGCCCCAGGCAAGGCGGATCAGATCCTCTTCCGCTGCGTCCAGAGTATGCCTCCCAAGCTGGAGAAGGCTTACAACAGCTGCTATAGCGGAGGTGAGCAGAAGCCTGTCCCACTCGCCTTTGCAGAAGGTCTAATGTCTGCACGCGGGCCCCAGGGAGCGTTCGCGTGGCACCCTCCAGCCATTCTGACCCGGGTCTGCCCAGCCCCAGCCTGGCTCTGGCGATACGGACGGGCCAAGGTGGCTGAAGACCTCCCTCCGGCCTCAGGCCAGGGCAGATCCTTGCAAGTCCCTCTCCATCCTTGGAGGC